TTGTTTTGTCCCACATCGGATATTGAAGTTTGAGACGAGGGAAGGAGTGGCTATAAAATGAGCCGCCCATTCACTTAGCTAAGCACGCAGCCGTGCGGTGAGCACAACGCGAACTATTCTTTCGCCTTTTACTACAGAATACCGTGTGCTCGCCGCAATTCAGCGGCATACACCTATTTTTGGAGGGGTCTTTCCCATTAGGGATTGCCCCCAACCAATTCAAGTTTCAAGTTTTTCTCACACACAAGGTTAGTGTGCGATAATTGGTTGCTTCAATGGCTTGTATCTGTAAGAGGAACATTTCAGTAAATTGGTTTATGACTAGTGTCGGCTTATGAACTTGGTGTGAAGTGAGAAAACTAGTATCATTTAAGGGAATATATTCACAGACCATTGTGAAGCATATATACAAAGATTGCAATACATAAGCAAGCAGGCTATTCACCACGGACACTTCGAATTCAGGACTGACACTGGATTATGCTCGAAGAACAAAAGAAATAAATATTGGAAACCAAACACGTGAAACATTCAACGAAAATATGTGAGAAGAACATCAAACTATAAAAACTAGCTGCGATTGAGTGAGCAGATCTTTAATCACAGCCGGCTAAGGGTCTGTTAGGTATCATGAGAGAGATCAGGAAGTGAAGGATGAACTTCCCATCTTTGTCCCGGACTATCCCTCCCCAGTTCTCCTGCCAGCCAAAACAAAAAAACAAAGAGTTGGAACACACAAATTAATGATTAGCAGAATCAAACATTCAATACATTGGTGGGAAAATACACAGAGTGGGGAGAAATAACAGCCTCCTGCACATACTACTTAGATTCACTGAAATCAGGCAGCCTACTTATCTCAATCATATTACGCATCTCAACAAAAGCCATACTTTCTTGCTTTCCCTCTTTTGCCTGCTCTCAAAAGAAGATTGTTCCGATTGTATGAAATATTCCATTGGCCCGCATTTGTCACCCCATAGCTGGAAGTGCACTGCTGCAGGAACAGTGTCTTTCAGAGCCTGTAACTCATTTTCAGGCGCCAACTTGTATTTCAATCCTTGTGCAATGGAAAGAATATATTACTGAACACTCTCTTTCACTCACTCACTCACTTGCACACATACAAATGAATGCGCGCACTTCCATGTGGAACTAAAAATGGTAAGCACCCGGCACCCCCTTATCAGGAAGGCTTGTGATCGTCAGTTCTACAAATGCAAAAACATTTTACTTTTACGAACACAAACACTATGCCAGATAATCACAACAGTTCAAAGGTTAAAGCACCCTTAAAAGAATGATTTAGCTGCATATTCATCTAAAAGTACATATTTTAGCACTTCTTAACCGGTCCTTAGAAGATACTTGAGAAAAATTCAACCACCTTACATTTAGCATGTGCAGAGACAACACTGGTTAAGATGACAGTAGTCAAGCCTCAAATCAGCAGTCATTCTGTTATGTTCAACATTTCTAATTTACTTTTTTGTTTAGTAAAATCATATGCCATCGATAGGAGCTCAAGTGTCTTTGAACATAAGCTAAATATATATGTGGTGCAAGTGCAGCATTTCAACTCAACGGCACCCATCCTCTCTATGCATTTGCAGCTATTATTACCAGATTACACGGAAGAAAATTATGGTACTTAAAATATACCAAAACTAGTGTATAGTTGCCAACTATTTTTAGACATTTGAGTAGATTTTGGAATGACCAAAATGGAGTACTGAAAAAGAAGTCAAATAAGCGACCCTATATTTATTAAAAGAACAACGCTTAGTTTGATGTTGTTTAAAAAAACTAGCTCGAGTCAAACAAAAATCACTTTTTCTTCAATCTACGGAAGACGGTGCTAAGGAAACAATCTTGAAAACATAAGGGAATGATAAAATAATTTTTCATTTTCATATGACTAATGTTTTCCATGGCAGGTGGATCAACCGTCATGCTCAACGCCGAGGAAGAAATCCTTTAATCTTCCTAGCACTGCATCCATAGAAGAACTCCGAACCCCATCTTTTGAAGAATTGCTGAAGACATTTTGGGATGCAAAATCACTGAAACAAGTAGTGAATGGAGAGGCAAAGAATATTTTAGAGGCTGCGAGAGACTCCCGAGTTCCCCTCTAAAATATTCTTTGCGTACATTTTTTCATATACTTGTAAATGCTGAAGTTCGAGATCACTATCCTAAAACGTGCATCTAAGTCAATGTTACGTCTCAAAAAGACAAATATTCATTAAAGTTAATTAATTATGATGAAATTTATCAATCTTTCTTGCAGATCGAGATAATTAATGAATATGCACTTAATCAATCATAAGACAACTAATTCGCATACTCTTACATTTAACTTCATTAAAATATTTTCAAACCCGTTTATTTCAAAAAAAAATTCATCAAATGTAATGGAAAGCAATTTTTTTTAATAAAGAACTGAGTTTTCAAATTTTTATTCTTGCTTAACATCAGAAACAACACTATCCACAAATATTAGGTTAAAAAATGTGAAATGATTAAAAAACAATAGATTTTTTCTACTGATTAATTGACTTCTATCATCATCAAACAATTAATCTCAGACATTGCATTAGAGTACACAGATAAAACAAAGGGACAACATTAATTTATTCTCCAAATATAAGTAACTAAAGATTGAATCATGTGTAACTTCAAAACATCAAGAAGTGCAGACTAAAAAATCAAAAACCATTATTGTCTGCTAATGTTGTCATTAATTAAAATTAGTTTCTACCCCTGGAAAGGGGGGTTGTAAAAAGAAGCACCACCGTGTCCAGCTCCACTGCTTGATGCACCTGCGCTTGCATTTGGATCTGCATTTGCATTTGGAAAAAAAACAGGATAAATTGTGCTGGGAAAATCTGCATTTGGATCTACCAGGGAAGAATATCTGGCATCAAGCTTCATTATCATCTAGTTTTGCCTACAAGTCCTGCATTAGTTATGTTGTATTCTCATTGTCTTGAGGCACTGCAAGCCTAACCGATCATTACCGAGACAAGAACAGATTGATGTTCACTATTTCTGAAAACTCTATGTTATCCCTCAATTTCGAGGTCTAAAGAGACTGGGCCACGTGGCATAACGGTCAATAAGGAGTTAAGCGGAGGGCCAATAGGTTAAAAGTCCAAGTAAGAAAATGGGCCGAGGTTCTTAACCCAGCAATAGATGCTTTCGCATTAATAAGCCTCGGTCTGAAGCACTTCCTCAAAGATGAGGCACTACCCAGTCCGAGGTTCTTTCAGGCTCGTCCGAAACTCATGAAATCGACGTTGCCTTACACTAGATTCGAAGATCTTTTTGAATTGATTGATGTGATGTCTGTAGTAAAGTATCTGTAATTTTAATCATTGTCAGCCTATTACTAGAACGGCTGACCTTTAGTCGAAACAGTAAATGTAATGAGTGGACGGTGATGTGAAGCTTCGGCTTAGATGATATCGCCATGTGGACTTGATCCAACGATCACCATATCGACTAGAACAGTATAAATTGCCACTCTCTGTATATAAAAGGGGGACGGTAAAATGATGCAGAATATACAAACACATACTCATACAAATACTTGAGATTTTATTGAAAGGAAGTGAACTCATCTACTCATCATATCTATCTTTCCACATATTTCATTATCATTTTGTTAAATAGGAGATCATTGATAGCGTGATAGTCCTGAAAAATATCGCCGGAACCTTAACATCTTTGTCTCTCACCTGAAAGTGCCTCTCACGTTCACTGCAGTTGGATTGCCGTACTTATTCCGGTAAAAACGTGCTGGATCCGTACTTGACGTGACGAGAGTGGTCCCGTCATCTGTTGAGTTCATTTTTTGGGGTCAACACTCTACTAGACCTAGGATTTTTATATGATTTTCTGTGTGAATGAAGTTAAATTTGATATTTCAATCATTACTGAATTTATATTTCTGAGACTATGAAGGTTGGGAACATGTAGCTCGGCTCCGTTGTCTGCCTGTAAACTTTGCAGAGGTGTAAACAATCTTACAATAATAGGTCGGTTTGATCTGATGCTATTTATTTCTACTAAAGTTCATCACTAGTTTATTTGACGGTGAAGTCACAGTCCAATAAATAATATACTTCTCATCTTCATTAGATTATTAGAAGAGCATCTTCGATCATGGTTTAAAATAGATATAAATTGTGATTGTGTTGGACAAATATTGATTTTATTGTGCAATAATTTATATTCAAAATAGCAAATAAATTATTGGGCAGAATTCCGACTTACGGAATGAACGGAATTAAACAGAATGATAATGGTCAAAGCAAGAGTTCGACTTTATCTCTCTAAGATGGTAATGTCCCGATGAACTCGATTTGTACTCCAAATTACAAGATTTGATGAACCTACTAATGTTTTCTAGAATTAGGACTTAAAAATGCCATTAAAATAATGCCATTTGTAGCCTTAAATATGGCGAGCAGTAAGACAATTCAACTTAGACTACGTATTATAAAATAATGATTTTTATAAGAATGTGTGGTTATAAAGTAGAAAAAAGTTTTTAATACGTGTATAATTATTTCACAAGAGAATATGTGGTTGAAAATGGGTTTTGATGTATTCTTGAAAAAATGGGGCTCCGGGGCATAATTCCAAGTAGTTTTATTTAATAACTTATTTTTCTATTACCTTAAATAAAATCTAAATTTTTTTTTAAAAAAGTAATTCATACTTTATTTCTAACTTTTACTAATAGAATATTTTATTTTAAAAAGTATTACCTGCTTATAAATAAATTTACTGATAAGTAAACTTTCAAGCTTAGCTGTTGATTATTTCATAGAGTCAAAGACTAGAAAAGTCGTGATATTCATTTGCTGATTGGAGCTTTATTGGGTTATCCAACAGAAGAAACGCGTTTCAGTTATTGCTATTGCTTTTTAGTTCCTTTCCTAGTCCCACATTGAAAACTTAGTAAAGGGAGGAGTGACAGAATGCCTATAAAATGAGCGGCCCGTTAATGTTTCTAAGTATGCAGCCGTGCGGTGAGCACAAAGCGAACTATTCTTTCGCCTTTTACTAAAGAATACCGTGTGCTCGCCGCAATTAAGCGGCATACACCTATTTTTGGAGGGGTCTTTCCCATTAGGGATTGCCCCCAACCAATTCTAGTTTCAAGTTTTTCTCACACACAAGGTTTGTGTGCGATAAGTGGTTTTTGTATTTTTCTAGTCAAGGAGGCGAATCATCATTATGATTCTGTTTTCATCCACAGAATATGTGCATTTGTTCATTCTGATTCCAACTTCAACGCTTGGTTGCTTCAGTGGCTTGTAGCTGTAAGAGGAACATTTCAGTAAATCGGTTTATGACTCGAGTCGACTTAGAACTTGGTGTGAAGTGAGAAACTAGTATCATTTGAGGGAATATATTCACAAACCATTGTGAAGCATATATACAAAGATTGCAATACATAAGCAAGCAGGCTATTCACCACGGACACTTCGAATTTTGTACAGACACTGGATTATGCTCGAAGAACAAAAGAAATAAATATTGGAAACCAAACACGTGAAACATTCAACGAAAATATGTGAGAAGAAGATCAAACTATAAAAACTAGCTGCAATTGAGCGAGCAGATCTTTAATCACAGCGGCTAAGGGCCTGTTAGGTATCATGAGAGAGATCAGATCTCCCGGACTATCCCTCCCCAGTTCTCCTGCCAGCCGAAACGAAAAAACAAAGAGTTGGAACACACAAATTAATGATTAGCAGAATCAAACATTCAATACATTGGAAAATACAGAGAGTGGGGAGAAATAACAGCCTCCTGCACATACTACTTAGATTCACTGAAATCAGGGAGCCTACGTATCTCAATCATATTAGGCGTCTCAACAAAAGCCATAGTTAATTCAACCACTTTCTCGCTTTCCCTCTTTTGCCTGCCCTCAAAAGAAGATTGTTCCAATTGTATGAAATATTCCATTGGCCCGCATTCCAAAAGAAGATTGTTCCAATTGTATGAAATATTCCATTGGCTCGCATTTGTCACCCCATAGCCGGAAGTGCACCGCTGCAGGAACAGTGTCTTTCAGAGCCTGTAACTCATTTTCAGGCGCCAACTTGTATTTCAATCCTTGTGCAATGGAAAGAATATTACTGACCACTCTCTTTCACTCACTCACTCACTCACTCACTCCCTCGCACACATACAAATGAATGCGTGCACTTCCACGTGGAACTAAAAATGGTAAGCACCAGGCACCCCCTTATCAGGAAGGCTTGTGATCGTCAGTTCTACAAATGCAAAAACATTTTACTTTTACGAACACAAACATTACGCCAGAATTACACAACAGTTCAAAGGTTAAAGCACCCTTAAAAGAATGATTTACCTGCTTATTCATCTAAAAGTACATATTTTAGCACTTCTTAACCGGTCCTTAGAAGATACTTGAGAAAAATTCAACCACCTTACATTTAGCATGTGCAGAGACACCACTGGTTAAGATGACAGTAGTCAAGCCTCAAATCAGCAGTCATTCTGTTCTATTTAACATTTCAAATTTACTTTTTTGTTTCGTAAAATCATATGCCATCCATAGGAGCTCAACTGTCTTTGAACATAAGCTAACTATATATGTCGTGCAAGTGCAGCATTTCAACTCAACGGCACCCATCCTCTCTATGCATTTGCAGGTAAATGTTAAGCAAAAGCTAGATTTGAATAATGTCAAGAATTTCCCCGTTTCTTTTAACTATATTATGTTCATAATCTTCCGTGATTCGTATATGGATACGAGTATCAATACTCGTGCTTCCTGATGTAACTTTTGGGAACAAAACTATTTTAGAAGAGTATCTTTAAATTAAAAAGCAGTTGGTGTAAAGGGACGACTGACTAATTCTTTGATGATATTTGATCACCATCATTTGAGTAACCAACCCATGGACATAAGAGCGACCTTTTTGCATCTCAACAAACATATTGTACGTTAAAGGAAAATGGTGGAAGTTGATGATGTTAAGCCTTCATAGTGCAAGCAAACATGGACGTGAGAAAGATTTGAGAACCCAATTTTCCGAGGAGGACATACGAACCCCCCAAAACAGAAAAAATATGGAAGCAAGAATCTCCTCTCGTCCATTGGTCGTAAGCTATCCAGTTTCTTTCTTTCCTTTTCACGCACATTTTCAGTTTAAGCTTTGTAGAAAAATGTTTCATCTATGGCATCATTTATGGTAGAGAGGATACATATACTGGAAGAAAAGTTAACTGTATCTAACTAAGAAAGCCATGCAGGTTCACTACAACTTGACCGTGAGGCATGTAGCAATCTTGATTCCATGATAATTGTTCCTTGTTGTGGAGACTTGAGAGAGCTGAAGAGCGGACACTACCACAAAATTGTGGAAATCACAGAAAATGCAGGAAAATGTCTTCTAGAAGAATACATGGTAAGAAATCCGAACTATTTGTGCGTCAACATGATTTCTTGTGTTTTTTTGCCTCACAAAAGAGATTACTATAGCCTTTTTTTCATATAAAATAATGTATACAAGCTATTATTACCAGATTACATGGAAGAAAATTGTGGTACTTAAAATATACCAAAACTAGTGTATAGTTGCCAACTATTTTAGACATTTGAGTAGATTTTGGAATGAGCAAAATGGAGTACTGAAAAAGAAGTCAAATAAGCGACCCTATATTTATTAAAAGAACAATGCTTAGTTTGATGTTGTTTAAAAAAACTAGCTCGAGTCAAACAAAAATCACTTTTTCTTCAATCTA